AAAAGGCAAAGCTCTTAATTTACTGGTCTCACTACATTCCAACCCTCACCCATGGTCATGAGGTTTGGATCAATTCAGCATTCCCTCTACTGTTTAGTTATTTTCTGTACATGTTTTCAATTTACAGTCTTCTGCATACTGCTGTGCTGTTTTAGTGTGCGGGGGAGGGGTAAGCTATAAGCCTGAAATATTATTATTACCGCATTAAAACAAACAAGGAATGAATAAAAATAAAGAAATGTCAACCAAGTTCAAGCCAAAATCCAAAACTGGTTAGTTTTATGAACAGTCACGTAAACACGAGGGACCTCTTCAACACCAAAACAAACAAATAATACTTTATCGTGGCCATATCATATCCTTGTCAAAGAGACTGATGATCTAAATAGATTTGTTCCTGTTAAAATAAAGTAATAATAAAAACAAAATATCAGATTCTGGTGTAAAATTGTGCAAGATGGGGATAAAAATGATAATTTAGGAGGAGCTTTAAACAAGAATCTGTATTGAAGAGAACAAACTCCAGCCATAACATTATGACATTATTTTGATTCTTACGTATTTTTATTGTTTTACTTTTGGAGAAGACAACACGGATCAACATTTGTTTGAAACGTGTAATAATTAGCCGTGACTGCACGTGACGGGCGCTGCAGCTGAGGATGTGGATCTAATCAAAGTCACTTCAGTCTTTAAACTTCCACTTTAAATCCCAAACTTCAGCTCCAGTGACAGGAAGTTCACTCCTTTGGCTTTGTCTCGTAATATAAACAGGACCAAAGTTTAACCTGTCGGACGTCATTTCGTTATTCAGGATGTGTCGAAGCACAGCTCAGTGTGCCTGTTCTCTGACGCTCACCTCTGTTCCTCAGGGCCTGCCTCCAGAGGATCTTGCCGATAATAGCCGTCCACACGGCCTTGACCTCAGCAGAGCTGGCTTGGAGTATAAACGTGTCCTGAGACTTCCTCCGACGGAACCAGATCTCAAAACGAAGGCCGCTGTCGCCAACATTTTCCGTCATGCCGATCTCTGCTGTCTGCGCAGAAAAAAAGGGTTGACTTCACGTAGCACCACAAACATGGACAAAATCAAGAAAGCCTTACCTTGAAGGACTGTTTGTAGATATAGAAGTCATATCCTCCTTCTATCTTCTTGGTCTTGCTGAAGAGGATGAGGTCTTCGAACAGGAAGATGTGGCGGAGGTATTTCCTGCGTCCGCACCAAACGATAAACTCGTCCTGGCAGCGCAGCTGACCCTGCTCCTTCAGGTTCACCTGCGGAGGAAACGCGTCAGAGAGAACAATGCATCTCCTCGTGGGACACTCGCTACAACACATAAAGTCCGTGACCTCGGTGTGTCGTGAGAGCCGCACCGAGGAGTGACCCGCGGATCTTTTGAACTCACGTCGCAGCCTCGGATGGCGTCCATGGCCAGCAGGTCGTTGCCGTGGCGAAGCTGAAACTTGACCATCTCCTCTGCGGTGCGGAGGTCACTCAGCTCCTGCTCCTGGGACTGACTGCACTCCTTTATCAGATCTTTGAGCAGCAGCGCGTATTTACTCATCCTCTGAATGGGCTTCAGTAAGTAGGAGGCCAGATCCATCTTGTCCCCGAGCTCCATTTGTTTATTCTGAAGAAAAACAGCAAAGATTTTTTTTTTTAACACAGAAGGTCTCAAGAGGAAAAATCAGCCACACATTTATGTCTTTTCTTTTTGGTGCTCTCAATAAACTTTTTTTTTTTCTGACAAAGCCTAAAAACCTTCCAACTTTTTTTTATTTTGTCAGAAATGTTTTAAAAGCTCCTGTTACTTCACAGCAACATTACTGCCCTCTAGTGTTTCTTGCATTCTTTGATCCCATAATTTTCATTTAGTAAAATAATGCATTCCTTTCCTTAAATCCATCCATCCATTTTCTTCCTCTTATCCAGGGTCGGGTCGCGGGGGTAGCAGCCTAAGTAGGGAGGCCCAGACTTCCCTCTCCCCAGCCACTTGGTCCAGCTCCTCTGGGGGAATCCCGAGGCATTCCCAGGCCAGCCGAGAAACATAGTCCCTCCAGCGTGTCCTGGGTCTTCCTCTGGGCCTCCTCCCGGTGGGACGTGTCCGGAACACCTCACCAGGGAGGCGTCCAGAAGGCATTCTAAAGATGCCCGAGCCACCTCAACTGGCTCCTCTCGACGTGGAGAAGCAGCGGCTCTACTCCGAGTCCCTCCCGGATGATCGAGCTTCTCACCCTGTCTCTAAGGGAGAGCCCAGACACCCTGCGGAGAAAACTCATTTCGGCCGCTTGTATCCGAGATCTCATTCTTTCGGTCACAACCCAAAGCTCGTGACCATAGATGAGGGTAGGAACGTAGATCTATCGGTAAATTGAGAGCTTCGCCTTTTGACTCAGCTCTCTCTTCACCACGACAGACCTGTACAGCGCCTGCTTCACTGCAGACGCTGCACCTATCCGCCTATCGATCTCACGTTCCATTTTTCTCTCATTCGTGAACAAGACCCCAAGATACTTGAACTCCTCCACTTGGGGCAGGACCTCCTCCCCGACCCGGAGAGGGCACTCTACCCTTTTCCGGCTCAAGACCATGGCCTCGGATTTGGAGGAACTGATCCTCATCCCGGCCATGTCGCACTCGGTTGCGAACCGCTCCAGCGAAAGCTGTAGATCACGATCTGATGAAGCCAATAGGACCACATCGTCTGCAAAAAGCAGAGACACAATCCTAAGGTCACCAAAACGGATCCCCTCAACACCTCGGCTGCGCCTAGAAATTCTGTCCATAAAAGTTATGAACAGAATCGGTGACAAAGGGCAACTTTGGCGGAGTCCAACTCTCACCAGGAACAAGCCCGACTTACTGCCAGCAATGCGGACCAGGACCTTTCCTTAAAGACTTTATTTATTTCACAATATAATAATTCAAAAATTGTATCTTTGAGCAGTAAGCAGGTTGCCCCACCCTCCCACCTCCATGTAACGTAGCATTAAAAGAACTTCATTAGGAAATTTCCTCAACTTGGGATAAAAATATCAGATTTTAATGACTTTTTTAAAATTTCCAACTCATTAAGGGCCTTTAGTTTGAAAAACTCTACAATTAATTTTTACTTTTTTAAATCTTCAAAATATTTTGTTAATGGCACTTTAGAAAAATTCATGTTTGGGGTCAAAATTGCACGAGCTGGTCTGTGGTTGGACATGGAGTTTCTTTTCCTTCTTCACTCTTGCTGCCAGTGTGCGTTTCATTTTTTAATTTTACTGAACCAGTTGGTCAGCGAGCTGCAGCGTCCGTCCACCCGTCCACGACGCCATGTTTTCAGTGAAGCCAACAGCAGTCAGTCATACTCTGGCCCAGCCTGGATGATTCTTCAGGTCTGCATGCAAGTGGAGCCTCTGTTTTGAACCATATACTCGTGACCAACGCAAGTGGTTCTTTTTTTTATTTTTTGCTTTTTACATCCTAACTAAAACGATTTTGTTGGATGAAATGAGAGATGGGTTTGAGAGCAACTTGTTTTCATTCAACCTTTATTTAAACAGGTTAGTCCCATTGAGCCACAAGGACTCATTTACAAGACAGACCTGGATTTTAACAAAGAGTGATGACAACAGTGGACAACAATGACAACAATAGACAATCACAAATGATGCATACAAATTATTATTTTTTTTTTACAATTGAAAACAAAATGATAATTTGTTTCAACTCTTCCAGGCAAGTTGCATCTCCTGGTCGGGGAGTTTTACAGAGGCCCTACAAGGTAAAAACATCACCAGATGGACTGATTAAAAATCCAAAGTACAGAGATGAAGAGCAGATCAGAAAATGCATTTACCTTATTTTTCAACCTATAAATCACATTGTTTTTTTTGTAAAATTTGCATGACTTATACACTGAAGCCATGTATTTATGGATTTTTTTCCCCCATATTCATAATCCAGTTTTTGGCTGAGATATGACCGTTTTCATTCATTCTGACTGAAAATATTGAACACTACCATTTTCAGTCACTAGATGGCACTCGAGTACTATGGCATGCCATTGTGTCATGTAACAGGTAAAAGTGGCTATTAATGACACAATCGGCTTGCCACAGACTTCAACCTTAGTTCAGCTCGCTTGGAGTAACCATCAAATCGGTTTCATTTCGCTGCGCTGCCCCAGCGAAATGCAGCTAATTTGACTATTAAAGTGCATTTATTAAATAAAAGTTTAACTAAGACACACCTTTACTATAATGTCGAGCAATCAAATAATTGTTTTTAAGTGTTAATCTTGTTAAATTCTTGTTAAAGTCCTCCCGTGCACGCTCCCGCGGCCGCCATTTGGCAGCCAATCGATTTTTGGCACGTGTTTCCAGGTTGTCATCAGTGATGCATAACAAACATGATGCATCAGCGGTGACGCATAATAGATGCGACTTATACGGCGAAGTGACGTATTTATGTATTTTTCCACTTAGACATATTTGGACTGATGCGACTTATACGGCAGTGCGACATGTATGGCGGAAAATACGATATAAGGGATTTCAACAAAGTCTGTTTTAGCCCTGATGACCACTAGAGGGCAGTAATGTTACTGAGAGTTTATGGAAGCGTTCAAAACCTTTTCCTTGGCCTTTCCTTGTGGTATGATTTAGTGCCCATTACTTGACCTGGGTCACTGTGAGTGAGTGAAGAATGTAACCTGGACAATTTTCAAACGCACCTTAAAGAATTCGTTGCCATGGCTGCTGAGCAGAGCGTCGGACTGAGGCTTGTTCTTGCTGTACAGGGCGTACATCCCAAACTGGTCCTCCTGCAACAACAAAGAGTTAAAAGCCTGACTACAGGAACAAGAGAGCTGACGTTTCTGTACGCTTTGAGAAACAATAAATGACTCGGCTCTTCAGGCACTGGACAGAAAATGTTTAAAATTGACAGAACAAACAAAAAAATATGTTAACAAAAAAGGTTGAATCATGTCATCTGGACTTCGTTTTTTTTGTTA